GCGGGACTGACAAACCTTCCAGGGAGAGAGCTTCCTAGGGAACCCCATTCCATCAGTTCACCACTCTCCTGGGGCAGTAGCCCGAGAGCGCCATGCCTTCATGAGCAGGGCCCCAACAGTCCATCTGTGGAGACTTCCAAAGGGTGATGGTGACCTGCTTCTGGAAGGGCATGGGAGGTTGCATGTGGGTGTCCCATCGCCGGAGGGCAAGGGGGAGCCACTCATACAGCTCCAGGAAGATGTCCTTCAACATGTGGGAATTCTGGAGCCATTGCTGGTCATCCCACCACATTGTGCCAGTCGGAACTTGTGTCCTGTTGCCAGAAGCAGCAGTGCACGGTGTATAGTGGAGGGCAGCAGGAGCTGTGCCGTATGAGCAGCACATGGAGAGAGGTGAAGAGATGCCCCTCAAGGAGCGGCAGATCCTGTTCCTGCAGAGCCATGTGAGCAGCCTGCAGTAACTGCACCAGGAGGTGTGGCAGCAGGTCTAAGGGCTGGCGACTGCTTTTCAGCAAGTCCGGCTTCATGGCTGGGAGTGCTGTGGTGTCTGCAGGGAGCAACCAGAACAGACAGTGAGAAAAGTTTTGCTGTCTCTCAAGGAAGTAGGCAAAGGTGAAGTGCTTGAGACACGGCTGTATATGCGGGTCCCTTTAAGCAGGAGCCTCAGCCTCAGGCAGCAGCTATAGGAAATGACTGCTATCCTGATGCCCTGCCTGAAGTGCTTTCAGGGGCCTTAAAGGTGATTCAGGCTCCAATCTATTTCAAAATAGCTCTGTGCTATTTCGATGGCGTTTGCAGTGTAGATGCGCTATTTCAAAATAAGTTCTTTTGGAGTTTTTGTTCCAAAATAGCTTTAAAAAAATAAGCATGTAGTGCAGATATACTCTAAAAGAGAAAAAAGATATGGTTGAAATGTTTTAGAGATTAATTTAGTCTCATAAGGACAATTGAACATGTGCATGTGCTGCTTTATTTGACTTTCTAGGGTAATTACTAACCTGCTGTGGTTGCGTTCCCCTTCTCAGAACTGGAATTCTCTAATACACTTATATCTTTGAGAGGTTTGTGCTTAGTTTATACTGTTCATATGGTGATTGAAAGCTGACATGGTCTGGTTATTTGCTCTAGTTGCATACATAGCAAACTCTATATAGCAATACAGAACCAACAGAAAAAAAAAGTGCAGCATCCGTAACATTGATTTATGTATCAATTTCTGTGTGTACAAATATAATGACTTTTGTACTTAATTGGCAAATGCAATCTGCAGATATACCTGCTATTTGAAATACACATAAACAGTTCTTGGGAGTATGGGGAGAAGAGAGCTGGCAAGAGCTAGATTTGGGATTGCGTCACTCGGCAGCTTTCAAGACACACATAGTTTTAGCATTGCTATGAAAGTCTGAAAGCTGCTATTTTGAGTCTATGTTGCCTTTTAAACTCCGTGAACTACAGTAAAATTGTCTAGTGCTGAAGCTGTGAGAGAGGCAGGCTAATGCAGGGCTTGCCCAAATTCTAATAAACCAATAGAACAGTGCATCTCTAATAAGCAGTGCTGCAGTTGAAAAGTGACATTAGTACTATATGAATCATCTTAAAATTAACACATTGCTTATAATGTCAGTGGAAAAATGGATCCCTCATTAATATGCCCCCCCTCAGTCTGGTTGGTTTCAGAAGCCACTACTTTTGAGCCTACTGTATGTCCTGAAACTAAAAGACAGCAGCAAGATTCTACAGCCAACTGCAGCGTAGCCAGAGAAACAGGCAACAAAAATAGAATGCCAGGATTGCTGTGCGTGGGTGAGGCAGAAACCACATTATGAGCAAAAGCTTCCAGTATTATTTTAGAACCAATGGAGAGCCTTTCTCATTTTGTTCTCTTTTCACAAAATACCCATGGGGAGGATAGGAGGAGAAAGAAAGAAGTCAAATATAAATCTGGAAGATGTGGGCTTCATGTGCCTTCCCTAAGCCAGCGACAATGGGGTCAACTTTGCCCAGGATGATGACCCTGCACAGCAGCATGGTGTTGATGGCCCTCACCACCCATAGAAGGAGACAAACAGAGAAATACAGGGCTGCCAGAGGCCTCAGAAATGCCCTGAGCCCAACCCCTCCTTCCCGCATACCAGGACCAAACCCAAATTATGCCATCCTTGGCAGGGCTTTGTGAATGCGGGACTGACAAACCTTCCAGGGAGAGAGCTTCCTAGGGAACCCCATTCCATCAGTTCACCACTCTCCTGGGGCAGTAGCCCGAGAGCGCCATGCCTTCATGAGCAGGGCCCCAACAGTCCATCTGTGGAGACTTCCAAAGGGTGATGGTGACCTGCTTCTGGAAGGGCATGGGAGGTTGCATGTGGGTGTCCCATCGCCGGAGGGCAAGGGGGAGCCACTCATACAGCTCCAGGAAGATGTCCTTCAACATGTGGGAATTCTGGAGCCATTGCTGGTCATCCCACCACATTGTGCCAGTCGGAACTTGTGTCCTGTTGCCAGAAGCAGCAGTGCACGGTGTATAGTGGAGGGCAGCAGGAGCTGTGCCGTATGAGCAGCACATGGAGAGAGGTGAAGAGATGCCCCTCAAGGAGCGGCAGATCCTGTTCCTGCAGAGCCATGTGAGCAGCCTGCAGTAACTGCACCAGGAGGTGTGGCAGCAGGTCTAAGGGCTGGCGACTGCTTTTCAGCAAGTCCGGCTTCATGGCTGGGAGTGCTGTGGTGTCTGCAGGGAGCAACCAGAACAGACAGTGAGAAAAGTTTTGCTGTCTCTCAAGGAAGTAGGCAAAGGTGAAGTGCTTGAGACACGGCTGTATATGCGGGTCCCTTTAAGCAGGAGCCTCAGCCTCAGGCAGCAGCTATAGGAAATGACTGCTATCCTGATGCCCTGCCTGAAGTGCTTTCAGGGGCCTTAAAGGTGATTCAGGCTCCAATCTATTTCAAAATAGCTCTGTGCTATTTCGATGGCGTTTGCAGTGTAGATGCGCTATTTCAAAATAAGTTCTTTTGGAGTTTTTGTTCCAAAATAGCTTTAAAAAAATAAGCATGTAGTGCAGATATACTCTAAAAGAGAAAAAAGATATGGTTGAAATGTTTTAGAGATTAATTTAGTCTCATAAGGACAATTGAACATGTGCATGTGCTGCTTTATTTGACTTTCTAGGGTAATTACTAACCTGCTGTGGTTGCGTTCCCCTTCTCAGAACTGGAATTCTCTAATACACTTATATCTTTGAGAGGTTTGTGCTTAGTTTATACTGTTCATATGGTGATTGAAAGCTGACATGGTCTGGTTATTTGCTCTAGTTGCATACATAGCAAACTCTATATAGCAATACAGAACCAACAGAAAAAAAAAGTGCAGCATCCGTAACATTGATTTATGTATCAATTTCTGTGTGTACAAATATAATGACTTTTGTACTTAATTGGCAAATGCAATCTGCAGATATACCTGCTATTTGAAATACACATAAACAGTTCTTGGGAGTATGGGGAGAAGAGAGCTGGCAAGAGCTAGATTTGGGATTGCGTCACTCGGCAGCTTTCAAGACACACATAGTTTTAGCATTGCTATGAAAGTCTGAAAGCTGCTATTTTGAGTCTATGTTGCCTTTTAAACTCCGTGAACTACAGTAAAATTGTCTAGTGCTGAAGCTGTGAGAGAGGCAGGCTAATGCAGGGCTTGCCCAAATTCTAATAAACCAATAGAACAGTGCATCTCTAATAAGCAGTGCTGCAGTTGAAAAGTGACATTAGTACTATATGAATCATCTTAAAATTAACACATTGCTTATAATGTCAGTGGAAAAATGGATCCCTCATTAATATGCCCCCCCTCAGTCTGGTTGGTTTCAGAAGCCACTACTTTTGAGCCTACTGTATGTCCTGAAACTAAAAGACAGCAGCAAGATTCTACAGCCAACTGCAGCGTAGCCAGAGAAACAGGCAACAAAAATAGAATGCCAGGATTGCTGTGCGTGGGTGAGGCAGAAACCACATTATGAGCAAAAGCTTCCAGTATTATTTTAGAACCAATGGAGAGCCTTTCTCATTTTGTTCTCTTTTCACAAAATACCCATGGGGAGGATAGGAGGAGAAAGAAAGAAGTCAAATATAAATCTAGAATTTTAATTTATATCCTTCTTTGTATTTCTTTGCTTGAAAAGCTGCTCACAGACCTAATTTGTGCACAAATAGGTTTGAGAGTGGGAAAGGGTTAATTACTTTTGAGGATTGGCAAGAGAATTGCAGTTTGAAAGACAGAGGACTGGACAGCTGTGTTTGCTGTGGTATTTTTAAGTGCATTAATGCAGGCTCCAATCACTCGGCCATGCTTGACCTATTTTTGGCTCAGGCTAGCCATTGTTCTATTTCTGATGCCTATGGGCCACACTGTTGTTGATTCATATGCAAATGAATTATCAGTCGCTTCAGCCAACTTTGCACAGAGAGAGACAGAGCGAGGGAGATAGAGAGCAGCGAGAGAAAGGAGGGCACAGGGACAGAAACACTTGTCAAGGCTGAGGGTAATTGAAACTAAGCCTTAGGGGCTGAAGTCCCTGGAAACGGTGCTTATTTGGATTTATATTTTTTTAAGTGGCTTTATTTTCCCCTCCCCCCATCGCCCCACAAGAAAGCCTGAACCACAAATACATTTCTTCATCCACCTGCTCTTGGCTTCCAGAACACCACTGTTCCAACTCAGAGGTGCATAGTCCACTGAGTCCTTCCTATTTTTTGCAGCAGCCTGGGGCAGAGTAAAAATGGATTGTCATTTTGTTTTGTTTTTAAAATAAATATTTATTCAGGTGCTTAAATGTTGTTAATTACCAAAGTTCATTATTTCTGCCACCCTCTGTGAAAGAGGTAGGAGTAGAGAGGGTCGTTCCTGCTGCCCTGTATGGCACAGTGATGAATCTTTCGTGTAGCTGAAGTACAGACTGATTGGAATATGCTGCAGACAATTTACGAGAGCGAATCGTGTTTTTCCTCAGATGGAGTTTCTGGACGGGAACAGCTCTTTGCTCAGCAAAGAATGCACAGTATGATCAGCTCAGGTAAGAGGCAGTTCAGTAACTAGGATTTCTCTGTCTGGAGGGTGTTTTTCTCAGATAATACAAACTGTCACAGTAAAGCACTTGTGCTTTAAAAAATTGGTTCTATTTCAAGTTATTTTATTCAGCTTCTTGTTAAATTATTATATCTACTACAACATTTTTATTTGGACATTTGCTGCTGCTGTGGTTTTCTTTTAAGCTTGTTGCTTCCAAGCAGTAAGAAAACTAGCAAGTAAAATGCAGTGTGGTTTTTTTCCCCTCTCGTTCTGTGATGGCAAAATGGGGGCTTGTGATTATCGCAGGCTCAGTCAGAATGAGAGTCCATCAAACAAGACTTTAACAGCAGGCTGCAAATCATACAACCAATTTAGTCATTTCTTTCATGTATAATTTTGTAAGCAGGAATAGGTCTATTCATAAGTTTCTTTTTCTCAAGTTTACAGACAAAGAAGTTTCTGTAGAAGTCTTTTTTTGTTTTCGGAGTATTTTCATTTTTGAATAGTCTGAAGTAAATCTGTGTCTTTTTTTACATAGAGCTCATGTTACTTTAAATATATTACTTTACTTTAAACCTGTTTGTACCTTTAAATGTATTTGGGGACCTTGGCTCTGCCAGACAGATGTGATGACTCACTGAAAATGTAAGTTGGATGTGTTTTTAAAGCAGGTGTTTTAAAGCACCAATTACAGAATAATAGAAATTATCTCCCAATTTTGAAGACCTACTATTTTCTAGTTTCTATGATATCTGTGTTTTAGACTTCACAATTGATGCACTAAATTAAGTAGCAGGAGTTTAACCAGATGACTTAGTAAAAGAACCCAGAGCACAAGTCAAAGTTGGCCTCTCTCTAGTTAACACTGTGAGGTTTGACTTTAGTTTTACATTACTTCACTTCATTATGTTTTGGGACACAATGTTATCTGCGCTTGTTTCTGGTTCTTCTTTATTAGTTTGTAAAGTTGGCTTTGCATCAGGCCTGCCTGTGAAATATGCTGTGAATTGCTCACATCGACTTCAGTCTAACCCCTGAAATGGTCACAGAACTTGGCAGTGCTTCCCACTTTCCGAAGTATGAGTATGTCTGAAAGAACCCTTTTGCTAGTTCACAACATGCCTGTTCTAATGGTCATACCCTTGGTCCACCTGTTGAACCTTCTATGATTAGAATATATATTTGATATCTGCTCCCTTTCCTGTTCTGTGGCTAGCGATAAGCTTAGAGTTGTATTTGCTTCATACTGGGGTGGAACTGAAGAGTAGAATAATGATTTCAGATATTAAAATAAATGGCTGCATTGTGAGAGTTTGTCAACTGGGAATGCCTGCCTTTTCAGACAAAGCTTACACATGTCCTGTCTGAACAGCACAGCAGAAAACTCAGGCAACCTAGAAATAATTATAGATTTAGGGATGTGATGAACAAGGGCAGCATTTCGGGAGGGTAAGGGGGGTAGTAGCTGTGCACTCTGGGACGCGGCTTGCTTTTCATCCTGTTACTTGAATGCTAAGGGAGTGAGTGGAAAGTTCTTGCATTCTGTGTATGCCTCTCACACCTGGCCGGTGAGCTCCCTTCACCAGGCAGGTGTGAGAGGCATGCACAGAATGCAAGAACTTTCCCCTCACTCCCTGATAGTCCAGGGGATGAAAAGCCAGCCACACCCCAGAGCGCACAGCTGCTGCCCACCTACCCTCCCAAAATGGCGCCCTTGGTGATGAAAGACTGAAAAATTGTTTAAATGCAATCTCAGGCCATGATAATGTACTGGAAGAGAGAACTTTAGACTGGTACTACTCTGTTATGAAACTTTTCTTCTCCTTCTGTGATTCAGTTTTTGGTCTCTTTTTCAAGAATTCACAAGGCTGTATCATTATATTTTGGGAATAGGTTTTATACCACTGGTGCCAGATTTCTTGTTTAAAAAAAATCTGGGGGTAAATTTGTTTGCAAGTGTAAAAGGCTGAACATTGGCTTAGAGCTTGGCTAGACACTGAAGATTCTGTCAAGCTTTTTCACAGCTCTGTCAAGCCACCTAAGCATAGACCGATCGTTATAGTCACTGGCTTACTGTTTGTGGATTAATAGTTGACTGGTGGTTTTGTAATAGACACCAACATGACCCTGAGATCAGATTAGGGACTCACTCTTTTCTTTTTAATTTGAAAAAAAAAATCCAAATTTGAACCCAGTCTTATTGAGGTGAAAAGTGAGTGCATAATCCATCATGCTGCCTTGAATTACTCATCAGTACAACAGCAGCAGTTATCTGATTGGGAACCCCCCAAAAAGCTTGCACTTGTCTTGGAGATTACAGCTCTTTTCCTTTCTTGGAGTAAAAAATGTCAGGTAACATTTTATTTTTATCTGGTATTGTTAGATCCATAGAACATGTAAAACATCTGAAGCAATAGATACAATAATAACTTTCTTTATTCCTTGAGAGACAAAAGACTATTTCCCAGGTGAAGAAAAAATATTCTTCAATATTTATACTGACCTTTAAAATACACAAATAAAATACAACTAGTTGATATTTTATGTAGTCTACAGTTTAATCCACTTCATATGAGATTAAGGGCCCCAGTGTTGCAGTTATGTGACCTCCACTTCTTTGACTTCAGGAATTTGCAGGATCAGCCCTAAAATTTGGAACATGGCACTTTCCATAAATTGGTGGATTTGTTACTGAATTATAGAAAATGTCACAACAATAGATACAATCTAATAAAAGACAATGAATATTTTTGAACTGGAAAAGAACCAGTGAAACACAATGGTGTCAGCAGAACTTCCACAACTGCTTATAGGGAAGAGTAGTTGCCTCTCAGGCGACGAGGGTGCTATATGACTGTGTTAGGGTGGCTAAATGGTTTTTGTATGTTCATTAATAGCCTCGTGGTCTGTTTTCTCATTTAGACGTATGTAACTTCCATTCCTGTTAATGCGCTATATATATTTATCATAAGAGAATAGACCTCTAAATATTTACACTGTGCATCCTTAATCCTTCAGAAATCTAGGAATTAACACAAATGTAGCACTCACTTAATGGATTTTTAGACTTACAGATCTCCAGATTTACTCTGCACACATTCCTTAGCTCTAATTTTAAGATAGATGGAGTCAACCCCAAAGCAGACAGTTCCCAATGGGCATCTGATATGTATTTGCTAACCAAACTGTCTGAGGAATTTCTAAGAATATCAGGCATATGAAATACTCCTGTCATGTGAAACAGCACTTCTGGTATTCCCTTAATTACTGCTTTGCTTGCCTGCCTTCATCTCAGTTTGCAAATCATATTATGAATGGGATGATCTGGATAGGTACCAATCAAAAGTCTAATCATGAATGGGACAATCCAGATATGCATCAAGTCGAGAAGCTATGTAATTACAGACACCTACACCCTATGTTAGAAAATAAGAATGTCCGCAATCTTGAAAAAGACTGTACTGTTTTATGTTAATGCATGGTTTTTCTTTCTTTCTTTCTTTCTTTCTTTCTTTCTTTCTTTCTTTCTTTCTTTCTTTCTTTCTTTCTTTCTTTCTTTCTCTCTCTCTCTCTCTCTCTCTCTCTTTCTCTTTCTCTTTCTCTTTCTCTCTCTCTCTCTATTTTCAGTTTTCCCGACAAAAGTGCAAGGGAAATTTTGTGGCCAGAACAATAATAATTGATGTGAAAAACTAATAAGCTTTTTTAGAGCAAGGCAAATAATTTCCACTGAACAATAATAATTGGATTAAATTGAGTTTAACCAGTGATGAACTTGGCTTTTGTGTACAGAAAAGATGTAGGTTTACCATGCTGTGGGGACTGACAATACGTGGCTTTCAGAAGTAAGCTCAAGGTCATGAATCCTTTTGGTCATTAAATATTTTTTACCATTTTTTAAAGAAGGGAAGGAGGTTCGTTCTGCTTTCCTGGCCATATTCCAACATGGATTCCTGCATTCAGCCTCCATACATTCTACCTGCATTTTTATTTGAATAAAGAATTATTCTCTTCCCAGCCTCTACTGTTGTGTTGTGCTTATGTAACCCACACACCTACTGGGTGTGGTTCACTGTCCTATTTAGTGGCACTTATAACCACTTCCAGAGCAAAAGAATGAGTGTTCTTCAGCCTGAGCTGAGAGCCAGTTGGCTGTTCGCTTAAGCTGTAGAGCCATGGTGGGCAATAATTTCTAATGGGAGCACCACTCCAAAATGTTGGTAAGTGGTCAAGGGATGCACTTTTCTGTGGAAGGAGAGTGGGGTCTGTGACAGAGGACGGGTGCAGAAGGGAGCTTGGGGTAGGGGATTGGGATGCTGGAGAAAGTGTGGGGGTCTGAAAGGGAGTTTGGGTGAAGGAGAGGGTTCACAGTGCATGAAGTTTCCCCCTGATCCTCTGGTGCAAAGAGGCATATGGAACAGCCAGCCACTTTGAGGGCTGCTCCCTGCCTTGGGTCCAGTGGGGTGGGCTGTGGGCTGAATTGAAAGGCTTGGCAAGCTGGATCTAGCCTCCTGGCTGTATCTTATGTGCTCCAGCGTAGAGGCTCATGCACTAAGCTCCAGAGATTCGAGGTTCAGTTCCACTTGTCGGCATTACAAATGAAGGCTCATCCAAGGTTTCAACTGTGTTTCGGACACTCCAGACACGTTTCGTCATCTAGAATATAATCCACACACCTACTGGGTGTGGCTCCCTGTCCAGTGTAGTGGCAGTTAGACTACTGAGAGCCAGGTTTGATAAAGAATCAAGTTGAGTTGCATAGATGTGAATGGTAGAGAAAATCAGATTTGTTGTTTCTGTCCTGTGGTTGAATAAGCATGTGAATTTCAATGGTCAACTGCAAATACTACCAGGTATGACTTTGAAATCCACCTCTCTCGCTATAAAACTTGGTTGCTTCAAATGTACTTGCGAAGTAACTGCAAAACAATCATAAAGATGGCTGAATCCAATTCTTTTGAAGATTTACTCTAATATTCATGGAAAACGTGATTTGCCCATTTCAAT